TAGAAGTGCAGATGTCATTTTGACTGTATTTTTTTGCCTCTCCGGGATATATTCCCAGGAGTGGTATTGCTGGGTCAAATGGGAGCTCAATTTCTAATGTTTTGAGGATCGTCCATACTGTTTTCCAAAAGGGCTGAACCAGTCGGCATTCCCACCAACATTGAAGGAGGGTCCCTTTCTTGCCACATCTGCGCTAGCACCGGTTGCTTTTGTTCTTTTGGATGTGGGCCAGTCTCTGTGATGTAAGATGATATCTCATTGTGGTTTTGATCTGCATCTCCCTGATGATTAATGATGTAGAGCATTTTCTCATGTGCCTTTTTGCCATTCGGATTTCTTCTTTGAGAAAGTTTCTGTTCATTTTGTCGCCCCATTTTTTGATGGGGTTGGATGTTTTCTTCTTTTGGAGTTCAACCAGTGCTTTGTATATCCTTGATATCAACCCCTTGTCGGATGGGTATTGGGCGAATATCCTTTTGGGTAGGGCTACTTGAGAGTTCTGCCATTGTGTTGCCTTTGAATCTTTGTTGCTACCCGGCCGTGTTTTTTTTTTTTTTCCAGTCCCACCTGTGACTGTTGCTTCCTTGCTGTGTAAGTCTCATGTGACAGAGGTCACTCTGTGCCTCTCCCTTTCCTTTTGATGACTTCACTGAGCAAGGTGTCCTCTAGTTTCACCCATGTGCTGCAAATTACCTGATTTTGTTCTTTCTTGGAGCTGCATAGTATTCCACTGTGTACTGCCCCACGACTCTGATCGTTCATCTCTAGTTGGGCATTTGGCTTGTTTCCATATCTTGGCTGTTGTCTCTTGTACTGAGTGCTGCGGTGGACATTGGTGTTCATCTGTTTTTTCAAATTAATGCTTTTGTGGACTTTTTTTGGCGGGGCGAGCTGGGATTAGAGGGTTAACATCCGCCAATGCTCAGGGTTAGTCCTGGTTCTGCACATAGGAATTACTCTTGGTGATGCTCAGAGGATCTATGAGGTGCTGGGGGTCATGCCCAGGTTGACCATGTGCAAGGCAAGCACCAACCCACTGTCCTATTGATGTCAGGGGGGCCCCATGGTGGCTCATGTGAGGCGGGGAGGAGAGAGATGGTCACTTTCTCCCCATCTGCCTCTGCCACGCGGGACCCAGGGCTACTGGATTCTTGTCTCGCCTTGCAGAAAGGAATTTCAGGAGTATATGGGCAGTGAAATTACAGTTTTTATTTGGAGGTTTTGAAGGGAAGGAGGAAGAGAGAGTGGGAGAGAGTGGAGAGTAATGTGCTCAAGAGAGAACCCGGGCTTCTCCGAGGGCAGAGAGAGCCCTATACACACCCCAGCATTAGACAGGAAAGCAAGAAAGTCCCCATCTCAAGAGGGGAGATGCAGGCGACACGTGTGCTCGGCCGCATGGGCACAAGCAGCACCTGGGCTCGGGCAGAATATGACCTTACTTTGGTCAAGGTGGCTTTTATAGGGTTTCTCCAATGTGCCCCCACATGGGGCTTTTTTTATTTTTTTGCTTTTTTTCTGGGTCACATCTGGACATGCACAGGGGTTACTCCTGGCTCTGCACTCAGGAGTCAGAAGTCACTCCTGGAGGTGCTCAGGGGACCATATGGGATGCTGGGATTCGGACCCGGGGTTGGCCGCATGCAAGGCAAACGCCCTATCCGCTATGCTATGGGTCCAACCCCCACATGGGGCTTCTACCTAGGTCAAAGTCCATTGCTAAGGAGGTTGTCAGGGGGTAGAGTTGGGAGTGGGGGTGGTCTTCTTTGAAATTCCTTTCCTGGCCTTTTGTTCCTGATGGAGCTTCTTTGGAGCCATGTCCAGCTCCTCAGGGTTCGTCATAGACTGGCACCAGCTCTCCAGGAGGTCAGGGCCATTAGTTCCCAGAAGATTTACTGCCATTGCCTTGGAAGGGGCCATCCTATCTGCCTGCCTGCCTACATCACTATCTGCCCCAGCCCGTTTTTGTGTTTCGAGGCTCCATGGCAAAAGTGGTGTCACTGCATCATTATGGGAGTTCTTGAAAGATCTTCGTTCTCGATTGTCCTCAAGGCACCACGGTAGCGTTTCTCTTTCTGATGCACATAGTCACTGCACCTTCCCCTACCACAGTGGTCAAGCCCCTTCCCTGTGCTTATTCACCCCTTCTCGAGTCTCTTTCAAAGGCTAGTTGTATCCTCTGTCCTTGTCCCCCTATCTATACCACAGGCTAGTTGACCTGAGTGCAGGTCACTGGCTGATCTGCAATTTTGTCTCTGTCCTCAATGTCTCCTGTAAACAAGCAGTTTCCTATGAGCTCTCTCTCTCTCTCTCTCTCTCTCTCTCTCTCTCTCTCTCTCTCTCTCCCCTCCCCCCAGTGTGTGTGTGTGTGTGTGTGTGTGTGTGTGTGTGTGTGTGTGTGTAAACAGCAGTGAGTCTTCTCCCTCTTTTAGCAAGAGCTTCCCGCAGCCCTGAGTACTTACAGTTGGAGACGCTGAGAATAGTGCAGTGAACAGGCTAGGGTCCTGCCTCTAAAGATCAGTGCCTGTTCTTTGGGGAAACTGATGCAAAAGAACAACGGGATGTGTAAGTCCCAGTTCGAAAAGCTGAAGAGTGGGCAGAGGGAGGATTTTTTTTTTCCCCCTACAGGGCAATTAGTGAAGGCTGGACAGGCAGGTGACGTGACGCGTGGGTCTCAGCATGGTGGTGGCTGGTTCTGGAGGTCTTCGGCTGCGGAGCCCTGGTTGGGGCGGGGAGGGAAACTCAACCCGCTCCCCTCCAAGGGGACCTGGCGAGGACGGCCAGGCGCGGGGGCAGGAGACTCTGTTCGATCATTGTATGACTGAAACTCAAACATGAAAGCTTGTGACTGTATCTCACAGTGATTCAGTTAAAAAAAAAAAAAAAGAATCTCCTCGAAAGCAGTGAGGAAATGTGTTTTCATGAGATCTGGTGAATCTGGTGTTTATTCGGGTTTGGGAACCATGGCTTTGTAGGGCCTTTAATTTATTTAATGTTTTTGTTCGCTCGGAGTCACACCCAGTGGTGCTCAAGAATAATTCCTGGCTCTGCACTCAGGGATCACTAATGATGGGGTCAGGGGACCACAGGGGATGCTGGGGACCATAGGGCCATAGGGGTTGCCGGCGATCAGACCGGGGCTGGCAGCATTCAAGGCAGGAGCCCGACCCGCTCTAGCCTCCTGTAGGACATTTTAGTAGAACTCACAGTAGATTCAGGGCTTCTTCTTGGTAAATATATATGCGTGTGTGTATGTACATATATTGGCTATATATATGTACATTGACAATATGTGTATTATATATGTATAATAAGTGCATAATAAATGTTCATATGTATATAACGACAATCTATGTGTGTATATTACAGAGTATGTACATATGTTGACTGTAAGCCTGTGCTGTAAGCAAGGTTTGCATCTGACTCCAGTGTTTGAAATCATCTTTTGGTTGCCGTAGAGCATTGCGTTTCCTGTCACTGTCTGGACACATGGAGGGTCACCAAGGAGAGGCGGGTCTGTTCCGCTCTGTGCTTCCTCGGGAATCTTTCCCTTTCCTTGCTTTGGGGCCATACCCAGTGGTGCTCAGGGCTTACTCCTAACTCTGTGCTCAGGAGCTACTCCTGGTGAGCTCGGGGGACCCCAGGCAAGGCCAGCACCTTCTCCCCTGGACTGTTTGTCTGGCCCCATGCTCTGAAATCTCACCCCCCAGTGGTGACTGGCTGCTACGTTCCTTTGTAGCCCTAGTTCCACCGTGTCTCCTGGTTCCCACACACAGGAAGCCTGTGTTCCTGGGAAGCTGCTGGGATCTCGCCATTTGCAGGTTCCTAGACCCCGAAGATGTCTCTTGTGTTATTTCTCTCGTGCCTCAGTCTGCCTTTTTGCTTTCAGCCTTGAGGAAGGAAGGCAACCACATTTCCCTGGCCCCCACCACATTCTGAGGCGGCCTGGTTCTGGAATGCCCTCTTTTGAAGTCTCACGCCCCTCCTTACACTGACGATTGCGTTCTTTGTCTTTGGGGTCCCAAAAAACAGCTCCTCAGCGTGCACTGACTCCCCCTCGGCCCCACCACCGGCCCCTTGCCTAAAGGGCTCAGCCTTCTCGAGTTAGTGACTCCAAGGAATCTGCTTGAGAACATGTTTTTGTTTTTGTTTTTCATTTTGGTTTTGGCCTGTACTAGGTAGTGCTCAGGGCTTACTCCTGGCTCTGTGCTCAGGAAGCATTCCTGGAGGTGCTCAGGGGACCCTTTGGGATGTCGGGGATCGAACCCCGGGTCGGTCGTGCATGTGAAGCAAACGCCCTCCCCGCTGTGCTATCTCTCCGGCCCAAAAACAAGTTTCCTGAGGACTCAAGATTGAGCAAGCATGGAGGCGTTAACTTATCTCTGGGCCACTGCTGTATGTGCAGTTCCTTTTTTATTTTTTATTTTTTTGAATCTCATTCCACTTTACCGTCTGGCTTACGTCCCTCCTGTTAAGACTCTCGGAGCATTTCCTCCAGGAAGCTCTCCCTGACCGCCTCCTCTTCCTCCAGCCTGAATTAGATGTCCTTCCCGAGATCCTGTACAGCTCTATCACCGACTCTCCAGGGTGTCCTGCAGTTTGAACCTTAGCCACACGGATACGAACAAGTTGAGAGCAGAAACTGTCTCTTATCCAGATTATTTGAGATCACTGAAGCCTATAAGAAAACTGTCTCTAATCCCCTAAGTTGGTCAACATTTACTACATCACATGATATAGTCCACATTTGCATCTGGTTAAGTGATGTTTATGTTTACTTATTTATTCATTTGTTTGGGGGCTTTTGCTAAGATTGATGCCTTACTAATACTAAAATAGTCACGGAATGGCTGGATGAACAGACACACAAACCCGTTTGTGAAGCATATCCAAGTTTGCTCTCAATGATAAAGAATAAAAGTTTCTTTTTGTGCTGAGATGCTAGTGACTTGCAGCCAGTTCTTGGATGGTAAAACATTGTTATTGCTTTTATGTTCCAACAGGAAATATGGGATGTATAAAATCAAAAAGGAAAGACCATGTGAATGACGATGGAATAGATTTGAAGACTCAACCAGTACGTAATACTGACCGAACTATTTATGTGAGAGATCCAACGTCCAATAAGCAGCAAAGGCCAGTAAGTAGTTAGTGCAGGGGAGAATTCCCACCGCAGGAACAACGCATGGCTGCACCCCCTCAGACCCCTGATCTGTAACATGTGCATGCAAAAAAAAAAAATCACAGTGGTTTCTTGGGCCTGAAATCATTTTTGTTTGCTTTATCATTTAATCCTTTAAAGAGCTTGCAAGCATTTTAGGATACCCAGGCCACTTAATGCATCATAAAGGGGCCTTGGTCCTTTTGTTGTGTTTGGGGGGGGGGGGGGGGAACCATCTTTCATATAGCTGGTGCAAAGATCCACTCTTTATATAAAAATCTATCTATAACTATCATATTTACCAGCGTAAGTGTAGAGAGACACATACGGACACATATGGCTGACTATGATGGACATCTGGGCTATGTCATTTAGGCAAGGTTATGAGATTAGTGCAGCAATCTAGAATCAGAAGGAATTTCTAGATTCGAGGAGACACTAACAGGTTCTATTATATTCTCTGGGATATTACATCCATATTGTCACTTGAGCTCAAAATTGTACACACACTAATATCACGACTTACTACAGAGACCTGAAAGAAAAAAATTTTAACTCCATTCTTCCCTCTAATGTTGGACAAATATTTGTGCCAGATATTTCATGGAAGAAAGAGCAGAAGTTTTAGTAATCACAACTTTTAGCACATCTTATTTCAGTCGGGTGTTACGTGCTTTCCATCTCTGTCTCCATAGACATAGATAGAGGGATGGAGAGACACTTTCCCATAGCCTGGTTTTTAGGAAACTCTCTAACGTTTAGTACTAGGGCAGCTTATTCCATAGTTGTCCCAGTAGTTCGAGTATCTTGAGCTTCCGGGCTTTCTCTAGTCCGACTTTTTTTCAAGTGTCCTGGCATTTTGGAGTGTGCTGTTGTTGTCACATCCTCTGCTCACACTCATTCTCCCCAGACTAGCCCGTTACCCTACAGAGACATTGGATGTCATTACTGAAATGGATTAGTTATAATTGGCCTCCTTAAAAAATGTGGATCGTATAATACTCTATTAAAATTTCATGCGTGGGGTTTAGCTCAAGCCGAGCAAATACTTCCCTTGTATAAGGCACTGGGTTGACTCCCCATTACCAAAAAAAAAAAAAAAAAAAAATCACTATGTGTGCAATTTCTGGACAAATAAATATTTTTATTTCTAGAAGATTAAGATCCATAAGGCTGTGAATAGCTTTAATAAATTAGTAATATAGGGACTAGAGTGAAAGTAGAGGGGTGAGGAGGGGGGCATTTGCCCTGCTTTGGGCCAACCCAGATTCAATCCTCCAAATCCCATAACCCTTAAGGCTGCAAACAGTGACCCTTGAGCACAGATCCAGAAGGAAGCCCCGAGCACTGTCTGGGGGGCCCCCAAATAAATGTATTAATAAGTAACATAAAAGACTTAAAAATCATCACTTAAGCAGGTGTAAATGTGGAATATGATATGTGATAACAGAAAATACTGATCAACTTAAAGAATTGGTCCGTTTTCTTATTGGCTTCCGTGATCTTAAATAATGGATCTGGCCTTTTCTGACATCACATGCAATAGATTCGGCATGTTTTCAAAATGAAGTGTGTGTGTGTGTGTGTGTGTGTGTGTGTGTGTGTGTGTGTGTTTGGGGAACATGAAACTGTACTTTGTTGAGAAGAGCAATGGAAAATAATAGCAAGTCACACACCATTTGTCCTTTTATCAATAGAAAGTTGGTTAAAAATTCAGTTAAAAAGCAGAAGTGGTAGATACGCCTGCAGCCTTTCCATTCCCCTCCTGTGTGCGGAGAATGTTCTGTTTCGTGCCTTCTGTGGCCTGATGGCCTTAGCTCAGCAGTTGGTCAGTGTGGCCTCATTCCACAGCCGTCGGCCACACGCTTAGGTCCAGCCAAGTGTGGGCCCTGGGAGAGATTACAGGGGCATCTGACGCAAGAGCGAGGCAGAATGTCATCTACCCTGAAAGGGCAAAGAGTGTCTCTGAAAGAGAAGGACAGGAGATGGACTGTGTATCTTTAAGTCTTAAAATAAGCGTCTTAGAGCATTTTTAAAGTAAAAACTTTCATATTTGAAAATCAGTTTGCTGCTTTCAATCATTTAGTTCCTTGTCTAATTATTTTCTCTAAATCATTTAAAATTGATCCTGTTTATGCAAATATAAGTGATTAAAAACAAGGATGGCATTTATGGACATAAATCTTGATCTATAAAATACAGTAATCTTCCCCATTCAGCTCCATGAGTTGGAGATTTTGTGGTCTGACTTTGATCAGAAATTTCATTTCAGTACAAACTGTGGTGGTCCCCTTTTACTGAATCCCTTTAATAAGGAGAGAAACAGTAATGTCACATGCTTCCCAGGTATTGACCCCTGACTATGCAGGCCAGACCCTTCCAGGGCCACCTGAAAGAGAAAGGAATTTGACTCTGGAGGACATTGGATGGGCTGTTGGACCCTTTATGCCTCCAGGTCTTTCCTGATAATTCACCCCTTAACTCAAACATCTGGCCTAGAGCAGGGTTGGCCCCGTCAGCCCGGGTCTGTTAAGACTTGTCCGGATCCCAACAATAAAGTGCCCTGCCGGCTTATTTTATTTTATTTTTTTCTTTTTGGGTCACACCTGGCAATGCACAGGGGTTCCTCCTGGCTCCGCACTCGAGAATTACCCCTGGCGGTGCTCAGGGGACCATATGGGATGCTGGGAATCAAACCTGGGTTGGCCGTGTGCAAGGCAAACGCCCTACCCGCTGTGCTATTGGTCCAGCCCCTGCCCGCTTATTTTAAAACAAGTCTGGGAAAGGTGAACATCAGCTCTCCTGGGCCACGTGGCAATGCCATGAAGCCACTGAGGCCCCAGGCCATTTGCACCTCTTTCTCTGTTTTTTGGTGTCTGGTGTCCATTTTGTCCCCATCTCGTGACAAAGGAGAGCTGGCCCTGGCAGGACGCACCGCCTTTTGCTTAGAGATAACTCCTTCCTCATATCTGCACAAAATCTGAAGCGCAGTCCTTGCACTGGACAGGCAGAACCCAATAATATTAGGGTTCTTCTCCCAGGTGTCTGGGAGTTAGGATGGAGCCCCTGAGAGCTGGGGACAGTGTGTTCATTTCCTGCCATCAGGAGCAAACAGCTGCCTCTGGAAGACGTCATCCCCCCACCCACAGCTTGTGAAATCATGCAGACTTTTTCTCTTCTTCTCCTTTTCAGCTTACTGAATTAGCACGTCTAAACCTCTTTTGCTACTGTTAGGAAAAAAAAAATGATAGATAGAACATACAGTATGACTGTCAGAAAAGCTCAATGTAATTTTTTTTTCTAATGAATATTCTCTCCTAGGTTCCAGACTCTCAGCTTTTACCAGGACAGAGGTTTCAGACTAAAGGTATGTTTCCATAGCAACCCAGTGATGCTGCTGTTAGGGTCTCTGCAGGGTGGTTATTCTGGACGTTTGGATGTTTTGTTTCGTGGATAGATACATAGAGAACATAAATCATAAATCATGTCATCATTCTCCATACGTACAGTTCACACCTTCACAGTGCACCTGCAGAATCTCTTCATCTTCCCAGACCAGCTTCATTCAGTGCCCGTTAGACCCTGTTTTCCCATCCCTCCTTCCGACAGCCCCTGGCAACCAGCCTTCTGTTTGCATCTTTGCGGATTGATTGTGTTGTGTGAACTTTGTGGATTCATCACATGTGTGACCCCCATTTCATCTGTTCATTTATCACTTCGCATCTGGGTTCCATCCAACATCTGACCGTTGTGGATAACCCCACGGTGAAACGGATGTAGTATGTCTTAAGTGCAAAATTCATCACTGTTCTAAGTCTGGCTCAGCAGAGATCACGCATATCACAGCCACATACACGAGAGACTCAGGTTGGCCCATAAAGGCAGCAGACACAAGCCAACATTCCAGTGAGCCCTCTTCATCTCAATCTTTGGGTCCAGCGAGTTTGTTGGAACTTTTCTGCCGACATATTATTATCATTATTATTATTGTTTTACCATGAGTGCAGAGCAGGAGTAACTGGTGAGCATTTCTGAGTATGGCCCAAATCCCAAATATATATATTTAATAGATATAATATATTTCTTGTCCTCATTTTATAAAATAAAAGCTTCTTTCTAATACATATATATATGGGCCAAAGCGATAGCATACTGGGTAAGGTGTTTGCCTTGCATGCGGCCAACCTGGGTTTGATTCCTCTGCCCCTCTCGGAGAGCCTGGCAAGCAACCGAGAGTATTCCACCCTGGAAAGTTATCCATGACATATTCGATATGCCAAAAACAGTAACACAAGTCTCACAACGGAGACATTACTGGTGCCCGCTCGAGCAAATCGATGAACAACGGGAGGACAGTGCTACAGTGCTACCATGAAACACATTAATTGCTTCACATAACCGAAATCCTGGTGTCGTTGTAGTTCTGGGAGCTACTGAGCTGGACAAGGGATTTGGGACCTCGCTATGACCCCATAGCTTGGGTCTGGTCTCCTAAGCTGGACTTACAAGAGGGGTGGAATGTTCCAGAAGTTCTAGATGGCAATGGTTGTTGGTGGAGCCATAAAGATCATGGTTTGTTTTCTATTTCCAGATCCAGAGGAACAAGGAGACATTGTGGTGGCCTTGTACCCCTACGATGGCATCCACCCAGATGACTTGTCTTTCAAGAAGGGAGAGAAGATGAAAGTGTTGGAGGAGTGAGTCTCCTGAACCCCCCCATGCCTTCGGCCCCCTTTCTTGGCCACTGGCTGACTCCAAACTCTGCTCCCCCATTTTGCACCCAGTAACACCATGATAGATAGACTTGCTTTTTCTGGTGGACACAGTCTCCAAGCATCTGACGGTCAGGAAGACCAACAAAAATTGCTCTCATATGTGACTCTGAGCCCTGGGGGGGGGGGGGGGGGGGGGGGTTCTCTGTGGAGACAAATCCCTAATCTCTTCCTTTTCCTGTGCAGCTGTAGAAATTCAGACTGACCAGGAACTGGCGTGGTTTTTTTTTCTTTCTGTACATTATTTTATGTGCCATCTTTTTGGACTTCTCGTCCTCCAATGCAACTTGGGTTTCTGGACCCAGCTCGGTTTGGTGTAGGAGTGCTCAGGGCTCAGGCAGTTCCAGGGGAGTTTCACGCAGACACTCACACTTCATCTCTCCTCGACACCACCTCCTCCACCCTCTCTCTCCCACGCTGACACCTAGAGCTTGGGGCAGAGTCACACACAGAGACCCAGGGAGTACTGAGAATCAGGACCTCCTGGTATGTTAATACTTGGGTCCTAATGTCCAATTTGCTTCCCCGCATAATAGTCACTGTGTCCAGCCAGGATTAAAGGGAGACCCCCTCGTTCACCATCTGATGTTAAAGATACAGACCGCCGTGTATTTAGGTTTGGGCACCACACCTGGCTGGACGCAGGGTTTACTCCTGTCTCTGTGCTCAGGGATGACTCTTATTAGGGGTCAGGAGACCACAGGAAGTGTCTGGGATCAAACCATTGTCAGCTACAACAAGGCATCCGGGACTCTCTCTCTCCAGCTCCTACGTAGCAGATACTTAGTGGCTGAGACCAGTTGTTGGTTACTGGTGGGCCATGAATTGGAGTCTGATCCTGGCCCCATCACTTGATAGCTGTGTGGCCTTGACGAGTCACCTCCCCTCTCCATGGGAATGATGATCCCTGTGTCCTGCGGTGGGTGTGCAGACGGCATGTGCTCCAGACACCGAGTGTAGTTGGTTCCAGTGTCTTCAGGGTGGGATCCGGTCTGTGAGATTTGGAGGGGAACAAACGTGGGGAGCAGGGCCTCTGGCAGGCCATCTCCGTGTTGAGGCAGAGCGGGGTGATGAGGCCACCTGCCAAGGGCTATTTTATGGGTTTTCATTCCCTCCACCACCACCCCTGCCTGCCCTTGACATCCGTTTAGGAAAACTAGGTGTTTTGACTCAATGAGTTTATAACATGAACCTGTGATTCCTTTGACTCTCGTATATTTATATTTTTTTAATTTGGGGTGGTACTCAGGGATCTGTCTTTGGGAATCGTTTCTGATGGGCTCCAGAGACCAGCTGTGGCAAGCACCTTACCCCATGTACTATCATTCTGGCCCCATTGATTTTTCTCTGAGACTTCCCCAGCATATTTTCAATATTCTTAGGGGAAATGATGAGCATTTATTTGCTTTTGCAAGACACACACCATTTTTTCTTTTTCTTATCAACTTTTGTGCATACGGCACAGAGCACAGGGGCCCACGCCAACGATACGACTCGTTTCCTGGGCTTCAGCCTCCAAACATTTTTATTTCAGCAAGAGGAGTGAATTTTGCCCCTGGATTTGGGGGTTTTAGGGATCTCCCCCTACCCTCCCTTAACCCCCACCCAAGACAAGCGTCTTAAGAAAATGACTGTCACTCTGGAGTTACTGAAAAGTCCAACCAATGATGCTTGTTTTATTCCAGGCATGGAGAATGGTGGAAAGCGAAATCCCTCTCGACCAAGAGAGAAGGGTTCATCCCCAGCAATTACGTAGCCAAAGTCAACACCTTGGAAACGGAAGAGTGAGTAGCCCTTGCTGGGCGCTGTCCTGGGTGGTCTGTGGTTTGCATTCGTTCTTCCTGGGACCCTATGCGCAATGTCCAAATGTCTTCGCAGGTGGTTTTTCAAGGATATCACCAGGAAAGATGCAGAAAGGCAACTTCTGGCTCCAGGAAACAGCCCGGGAGCTTTTCTCATCAGGGAAAGTGAGACTCTGAAAGGTGAGATGTGGGTTTTCAACTCCTCTCCTAAAGGAAATCACTCTTATAATTTCAGAGGATGGGTTATGTTCAAGAAGTGAACATTTTCTTGTTCAATAATAAATAAATTGTTTGGCTAATAGACATAGCAAACAGACCTTATATCACGCGGTCTATCTGCAGAACTTCTTGCTTTATTATTTAGAGTAAAGCTAGAACTTGGAGGAGAAAGAAAATCCAAGTAACTTTTTCAATTGAATGAGCAAATAAAAAACCAAACTGCCACCGGGAAAGAAAAATTACATATTGGTCAGCTTCAGAGCAAGCCACATAGCAGCTTACTACTTTGACAATGCCAAAGTAGTAGTACACAGTAGTTTTATAAATTCTGCGACTGTATACAGAATTTATATTTTGCATACTTTATGGCCAAATGAATGTCATGGTGTTGTGTGATATAAATGTTATTTATAAAATAAACATAATCTGTACCTGTTCCCCACAGGAAGTTTCTCTCTGTCTGTCAGAGATTATGACCCTATGCACGGTGATGTTATCAAGCACTACAAAATCAGAAGCCTGGACAATGGGGGTTATTACATCTCTCCACGAATCACTTTTCCTTGTATCAGTGACATGATCAAGCATTACCAAAGTAAGTTAAAAACTGAAGATCAGCAAGACAAAATAAGTTAATTGTGATAAATAGGTCTTTCTGTTATCTTTTTACATATATTTGTTTTTGTTTATTTATTTTGGATCTGATATGTTTCTGTTTGGAAAAGGATATTTTCTATAGTTGATTCCGAATCATTCAATAATTAAATATAGAAAACTCAGATTTGATTTTTGTGAATCACTATCTCAATCCTTCCCACCTAATTCCTGCTGTTTGATAATTTTCCAGAATTATCAGGAGAAAATTGAAGGCTACTTTTACAAAATATACTTTTTTATTTTTGCTTTTTGGGTCATACCCGGAAATGCACAGGGGTTCCTCCTGGCTCTGCACTCGGGAATTACTCCTGGCAGTGCTCTGGGGACCCTAGGGGATGCTGGGAATTGAACCCGGGTCGGCCGGGTGCAAGGCAAACACCCTACCCGCTGTGCTATCACTCCAGCCCCACAAAATACACTTTTGAAAAAAATTTTATCTACCTGAAATAGGAATGATGATTTGAAGATCTATGTCTTTGTGTTTCTATGTTTAATTTTTTATGATTTCCTTAACTACTGGTTCTTGGTAGAATTTGCCTTCCTGTTCTTTGGAGAGGCTGGAGCAATAGCACAGTGGGTAGGGCGTTTGCCTGCACGCCGCCGACCCGGTTCGATTCCTCTGCCCCTCTGGAGGAGCCCAGCTACCGAGAGCATCCCGCCCTCATGGCAGAGCCTGGCAAGCTCCCCGTGACGTATTCGATATGCCAAAAACAGTCACAACAAGTCTCACGATGGAGACATTACTGGGCCCACTCGAGCAAACTGATGCACAACGGAAAGACAGTGCTACAGTTCTTCAGAGACCCCAACAACTCTCATGCAGCTCCTCTTGAACTCCTCCCCTAGTGCTCAGGTGTGCTGATCATGTCTTTTCATACTCTGTCCCATCTTTATTTCTAGGAATTTGGCGCTCCTTGACTTTCTTCTCAGCCGCTGCTGTTCTGCTGTATGGAGCTTCTCTTACATGTTTTAAATCACCTACCATACTCTTCGTTTCTCTCACTTCTGATGATAAGTTTTCTCACTTGGGCTCTCATAGCTTCCTGTGCTTTGCCGACAGCCTACACCGTCATTTCTTTGAGCTCATTAAACACTCGCTGTGTGGTGTCACTAAAGTCATTCTTTAGTGTGTTTGCCTTGCACACAGCCAACTCAAGATTCTAGCCCCAGCATCTCATATGGTCCCCCAAGCACCGCTGGGAGTAATTCCTGAGCCAGGAGTAACCCCTGAGCATTGCTGGGTTTGAACCAAAGAGCCGAGGGGCGAGGGGGTGGGGGGAGGTCGTTCTCTGAGAGTTTCCAGAGCTGTTTGATACTGACAGAGAGATTCTGGGTTATTATTTTCACTCACTGAGCTTGTGGGCTGAAGCGATAGCGCAGTGGATGGGACATTTGCCTTGCACGCGGTCAACCCGGCCAACCCAGGTTCGATTCCTCCGCCCCTCTCTGAGAGCCTGGCAAGCTACCTAGAGTATCTCGCCAGCACGGCAAAGCCTGGCAAGCTCCCCGTGGCGTATTCGATATGCCAGACACAGTAACAACAAGTCTCAAAATGGAGACAACGTTACTGGGCCCGCTCAAGCAAATCAATGAACAATGGGAGGACAGTGACAGTGACAGTGAACTTGTGGGATTCTGGGAGTTTTCCGCATTGTGCTAGCTGTGCTTCTGCTGTGCTGACAGGGAGTCTTAGTAGCTAGCCCCCCATGGCAGTTGCTCTCCCTTATGTCTCTTCACCCAGAGACAGGAAGTGTAGCTCTGAGCAGTGTGAGATTTGGTCGGAGAGCCAGAACCGAGATTGGGGTCTCATGATCTGGGGGTATCAGATATGCAAGCTACTGAAGGGAAGCGAATCCCCCACAGGCTCCGAGAGGCCCCGGGGGATTTCAGCTGGGAGATTTATCTGGAAAGCTGAGGACTGGGGAGGATAATGATTGTAATGTTTCTAGGAATAAGAGAGAGGCTGGAGCCAGGGTAGAGTGTGATGGTGCTTGCCTTGCATGTGCTGCATCCCTGGCAGCGTAGATGGTCCTCCAGCCATGCCAGGAGTCAAGAGCCTGCTCGGGTGTCAGGAGTAAGCCCCGAACACACCAGGTGCGGCCCCAAAGTAAAAACCACTGTCAAACAAACACGGTCCTCCCGTTGTTCCTCGATTTGCTCAAGCGGGCGCAGTAATGTCTCCATTGTGAGACTTGTTACTGTGTTTGGCATATGGAATACGTCAGGGCCAGCTTGCCAGGCTTTGCCGTGCGGGCAAGATACTCTCAGTAACTTGCCGGGCTCTCCGAGAAGGGCAGAGGAATTGAACCCGACTCGGCCGGACTGGCTGCGCGCAAGGCAAACACCCTACCGCTGTGCTATCGCTCTAGCCCAAGTAAAAACCAAAAAGCAAAAAGAGAGGAAGGAAAAAGGATTTAGGCAGGACTATTCACAAATCAAAATCAAAGTACAGGGGCCAGCGTGATAGTGTGGCAGGTAATATGTTGGTCTGCACACAGCCCCAAGCCAGGTTCCATGCCCCACACCTCCAGGAGTGACCCCTGAGTGCAGAGGCAGGAGTCAGCCCCCAGCTCAGCCAGGAGGGGCCCCCGAAACAAAGAAATCAAAATACAAAACAAAATAATTTGTCTTGGAGCTTTAAATATGTAAAGTATGATGGTTTGAAGATCTGTGTTTTGCGTTTCGGGGTTTGCTTGTGTGTTAAAGTCGTTTAAACTTGTCCTCCTGTTTTGCATGCCGGAGGTGTGGCTTTAATACCTGGTACTCAGTGGATCCCTCAAATACCACTGGGAATGACCCCCATACCCAGCACGGGGAGTAGACCTTAAGCAATTCCAGGTGTGGCCTGAAAGTAAAACAAGGGGGAAAAAGAGGGGTTGGAGAAATAGGACAGAGGGCAGGGAATTTGCCTTGCCCATGGCTGACCCAGGTTTGATCCCAGCATCCACGGTACCCGAACCCAGCCGGAAGTGATTCCCTGAGCACTGCTGGGTCACTGTCGTCACTGTCACTGTCACTGTCCTCCCGTTGTTCATCGATTTGTTCGAGCGGGCCCAGTAACGTCTCCATCGTGAGACTTGTTGTTACTGTGTTTGGCATATCGAATACGCCACGGGGAGCTTGCCAGGCTCTGCCGTGTGGGCGGGAGCACTGCTGGGTGTGGCAAGAAAACAAAAGGAAAAGAAAAGGCAAAGAGAGAGGGAAGTGACCCTCCAGTTATCACCCACATCCCAGACCCGTCCCCTACCCTTGTAACCAGTGTTTCGGGCTATCCCATGAGTGAGTTGTACTATAGTTCCTGTGATCTCTACACCATCCTAACCCACAGACGGCGGGTTCCTGACGGACCCTGATGTGGAGAGACCCTGAAATTGTATCTTAAACCTTTAAGCTGTTCTTCTTGTTGTATCGGGTTTAACATTTTATTTCATTTAAGTTTTTCCAAGGCCATGATTGTGTAAAAGATACCCCATCGGAGAAGTTTTTCCCATAAGGTTCATAATTGATGACAAGCTGGAAATGACAGTACCTGTATTTTATGTATTTCAGTATCTGCATTGTAAATCATAATGCCCAAAAGAGAGAGAGAGAGAGAGAGAGAGAGAGAGAGAGAGAGAGAGAGAGAGAGAGAGAGAGAAGAACGTGCCTACCATAGAGTGGGGCGGGGAGGGAAACTGAGGACATTGGTGGTGGGAGGTGTGCACTGGTGTTGGAACATTATATGACTGAAACCCAACCACAAAAAATTTTGCAACCCTGTATCTCACTGTCTGTCCTCCCGTTGTTCATCGAGTTGCTCGAGCGGGCCCAGTAACATCTCCATTTTGAGACTTGTTGTTACTGTGTTTGGCTTATCGAATACGTCATGGGGAGCTTGCCAGGCTCTGCCGTGCGGGTGAGATACTCTCGGTAGCTTGCCGGGCTCTCCGAGAGGGGTAGAGGAATCGAACCCGGCTCGGCTGGGCTGGCTGCGCACAAGGCAAATGCCCTACCGCTGTGTTATCGCTCCAGCCATCATTCCATTTAAAAAATTAATAAAATTTTTAAAAAATAATTTAAAAAATATAAAATAGCTATTCAATTAAAACAAATTTTAAAAATCAATTTAAAAAATTTGGTCATGGTATAATTGAAACCCAAGCACAAAATTTGTAAGTCTACAACTGTACCTCACGGAGTCTCACTAATAAAAATTTTAATAAATTAAGAAAAATTTCAAAAAACAATTAAAAAATATATAAAATAGCTATCAGGAACAAGAAAAGTAAAAGGTAAGTACCAGATGATCTTATATGCAGAGTCTAACGAGCCGAATAGGTTTGACAGTCACCAATAAAAATGAGTTCTGACACACGAAAAGAAAAAGGGGATGATAGAACGAGCCGTTTCTAGGTCGCGGTGGGATGCCGAGTCTGACACGGCAAAACCTCGCTCTCTCTGTCCCTCTCCAGAGCAGTCAGACGGCCTGTGCAGGAGGCTGGAGAAGGCGTGTATCAGCCCCAAGCCCCAGAAGCCGTGGGACAAGGACGCCTGGGAGATCGCTCGGGAGTCCATCAAGCTGGTGAAGAGGCTCGGTGCCGGCCAGTTCGGAGAAGTCTGGATGGGTGAGTGCGTGACTCGAAAGGCAGAGACCACCCTGGAGGTGACGGCAGCAGAAACAGGGGTTCCGATCAACTGCCGGGTTCTGTGTACTGTGTCAGATCCTGAACAGAAATGTCACTTATCCTCCTTTCTGCAGCTGGCATCAACGACTGGCTCTAAAGCTTCTTTACTAGACTTCCTCTTCCTCAGGGCTGAAGGATTCTCTCCTAGAATTGCATTTACAAGGAAGAGGGCCGTGAGTAGTTACCCTAGTGGTTTTGTCCTAATCTTCACAAGTCCCCGATTCTTGGACACGCGTGTGAAAGAATGAAAGCCACAGCTCAGGATGGCCTTAAACCCAAATGCATCTTTCCTGGAGACAGTTCACATGCAGGAACTGTCTCCAGGAAAGATGCGCTTGGGTTTAAGGCCATCCTGAGCCGTGGCTTCACAGGAGAGCTCACGTTGATTTAGTTTCTTGCCAGGAAAGTTTCTCAAGATGCTCACGGTTTCCCGATAAAACTGTGAACTCTTCCTTTTCATTGCACACTGCATTCTCAGGCAAGCAAGAAGGACCTTGATTGTGTAAAAGATACCCATCTGAAACCAATCTGAAAACACTTACTTTACCTGAGGGGTTCTTTTGGCCTAACTGTCTTCTAAAGTTCTCATAGTATTTGTGAATGTCTTTTCCTTTGACGATAAGAAATTTTTTGGAAATTTTTTTTGGTTTTGTTCATTTGATTTTGGAGCCCTGTGTGACCGTGCTTAGGGCTGACTCCTGGCTCTGCACTCAGGGATCACACCTGACAAGGCTCGGACACCATTTGGGGTGCTGAGGATCGAACTAGGCTCAGCTGTGTGCAAGGCAAGTGCCTTGCCTGCTATATTATCTCTCCAGATCGTGGTAAGAATTTCTTTCCTCTGTTGCAGAGAGTATCGTGCTGCCTTTTGTTGTTCTGATTGAAGATGCCGTTACTTCTGCTAGGGTCATGTGTTAAGTTACGTACCTCTTACTGAACCAGTTTTCTGTGCCAGCTTTGTGGAAGAACAAATGTGAATTTCTAAAAAGAAGGGTGCTTGATGGCTTAACGAAGCTGCCTAGATTGGCCAGAGAGATAGTCCAGGGTAAGGCACCTGCCGTGTATCCAGCCGACTCCAGTTCAATCTCTGGTTCCACATCTGTCCCCCAAGTGCTGCCAGGCGTGATGCCCAAACACAGAGCTAGGAGTGAGCCCTGGACACGATCGGGTGTGACTCCCCCTCTCCTCCCCCCAAAAAAATGAAAGAAAGAAAAAAAAACAGCCTAGTTTCAGCCAAGCAGAAACCAAAGAGCCTTCCAACCTACTACCGACACGTGGCCATTTCACTTCCTCATTCAGAGTCTGAGGCTGAGCTTGGCCTATGAAATTTCAGCCTCAGTGTACCCAGATCTGCCCAGTTCTCTCCTGCTGCCTCGGCTTTAGTTGAGGAGTCCTTTAAATACGGCAGTGAGGGACCATCCTGCACTGAAGCCCTTCCTCGCTGGACGTGTTTGTGGCCATCTGTCTGTGGTTCCCGCAAAGGCCAAGTGCACAGACGCGTGTCCTTCCTTTTGACTGTTCTAGCTCAGAGCTGCTTGCCAGGGCCCCCCGGCCCCTGTTGGTGGTCAGCCACACCCGGGGCAGCAGCTTCCGCCTCGGCTCAGCCCTCCCACCCTCCGGACCCTGCGTCCTCACAGCATCCTGGCGCCCCTGCTCTTGACACGGAGTCCACACAGCTCTGTCAGTCATTTGCAAGCAAACAGCTAGGTGACGCTTAACTACTTTCACATCATTAGACAACTGCTGTCTGTCTCGTTCTGAAATATTTTCAAGAGGAAGCTCTGTTCCCGTTCAACAGTCGCACCATCCCTCCCCACTTGCGACTTCCTGTCTCTGAAGGTGACAGCTTTGGGTGGTTCGCCTAAGTAGACGCGTAGAGGAAAAAAACACCCAACTGTCCTTTTTGGGTCTGGTCTGTCGGGTTACACCATGTCCTCACAATGCAGCTACTGCCCTGGGCATGTGTCAGAATCTCCTCCTCTTTTAGGACTGAGTGATATTGATGGCACGACACATCCCAGTGTGTTTATCCGTTTCTCTGTGGATGGGTCTTGAGTTTTCCACCTGTTGGCTTTTGTGAATGATGTTACTTTGGCCTTTTGTTTGTGTAAATTATTGTGCAGATGAGTGTTTCCATTTCTCTTGGATATCTGTATTTGCTAGTGTAGGAATGGAATTGCTGGGTTTATGATAATTCTATATGTAGCTTGTGACCCATCCATCAAATTGTTATTATAAATATTGCTTCCTTCCCTTCTTCACCATGAAGTATTTTTGTTGTTGTTGTTGTTGTTTTCCTTTTTGGTCACATCCAGCAGTGCTCAGGAATTACTCCTGGCGGTTCTCCGCGGACCATACGCAGTGCTGAGAATTGAACCCAGGTTGGCTGTGTGCAAGGCAAACGCCCTCCCCACTGTGCTGTTCCTCCAGCCCCCATGAAGTATTTGTATTTATTTCTGTTTTGTTTGTTTGGGGGCCATACCTGGTGGCCATTGGGTCTTCCCTCTGGCTCTGTGCTCAGGAACGATATCCAATGCTGACTGAACAGATTGACTGTCTGCAAGATGAGCATCTTATCAGCTGTCCTACCTCTCCAAACCCTGTATTTACGTATTTACATGTACTTTTTTTTTTTATCCCTTCTGCAGAATAGGAGCAGGGATAGTAGAATTAAATTGGAGGTTTTGGGGGCACTGGCTGTCCATGTGTGAGACCCAAGTTCTGTCCCCAGCACCAGAAAATTTCTTCTTTCCGTGTTTAAAAAGCGTTTCTTTGTATGTCTGCTGTTTCGTTAATCAGTTCAGCCCCCAATCGGCACCTTATTTGCTTCCACCAGTTAGCAATTGTGAATAGTGTTCCATGAACATATGTGTAAAAATAGCTCTCTGAGATGGGTGCGGAACATGATATGACTAAAGCCTAATCATGAACGGCTTTGGAAGGGTCTATCTCACAGTGATTCAATAATCAAATCTTTAAAAAAAAATAAAGAAATAAGTAAAATTAAGCTCTCTGAGAGGCTGCTTCCAGTCTCTTAGCCTGTTCATGGAATTGAGATAGCCACATGACTTGACATCGTGTGGTTTTTTTTTTGAGGAAACTCCATGAGATTCCCATAGTATCTACACATTTTTCCATTCCCACGAACCCAACCAAACCTTTCCAGATCTCACCAGCAGTTGTTATTTCCGGTTGTTGTGGTTGTTGTTTTCATTTGGTTGTAGCAGCCATCCTAAATAACGTGAGGTGAGTGTCTTAATATTCATGGTTTTGAATATTAAAATTTCTAAATTTCAGTCATGTCGAGTATCTTTTCAATGTGCACTGGCTGTTTGTCTGTCTTTAGAGAAAAGTGGCTACAATACCTTTGCCCATCTTTCAAAGATGTTGTTTGTTCACTTTTAAAGGAAGGCAGGGACCAGAGAAAAGTACAGTGGGGATAGTACTTCCCTTGTATGCAGCTGACCTGGTTCTGTGCCTGACATCCCATATGATCCCATGAGGAGTGGTTCCTGAGTATAGAGCCAGGTATAAGCCCTAAGAACTGCTGAGTGTAGCCCCAAAACAAACTAAATAAAAGCCAGAGAGATACTACAGGGGCTAACACGTGACCCTGGTCACAACCCTGGTTCCATCCCCAGCTCCACATGTGTTCCCGCAGACACCACTAGGAGTGACCTTGCAGCACAGAACCAGCAGAAGGTCTGAACACCACCAGATGTGATCCCGTCCCCCACCAAAAAATGAAGATTAAAAGTCAAAAGAGGCCATCGAACTGCATCTGAAATGGGAATTATAATGAGCCCAGCATGTAGGGATGGTCTAAGAACTGAATGAAATCTCGAATCGATGATCTGAGCATCAAAGAATTATTAAATAGTTGACTTCATTAGAAAGATACTCCAGTAGCAGTAGAACAAATAAGATTGAGGGGAGAAATTAGCCCCGATTTCCCTTCTCACCACTTGTTGTTTCTCTAATTAACTTTCATCTCTAAATCATTATAGGTTCAGTGCAGTTACAGGAGTAACAAACAAGTGAAAATATAAGCACACATAAATTTTACATGAATGTTTTTAATGTCATGAGTCACAGTAGCAATAAAGTGTAAAAAACCCCAAACTATCCATGGAGGATATTTTTTTAGTCAAAATAAGTTCAAAGGAGTTTCACATGCAGCAATGTGAATGACCCTTAAAAACATTAAGTTGGGGACCAAAGAGACAGTACAGTGGGTAGGGTTTTTGTTCTCTACATGACCGAGCCGGGTTCAATCCCTGGCATCCCACATGGTTTCCCAAACCCACCAGTAGTGATTTCTGAGCAGCACCGAGCCAGGAGTAAGCCCTGAGCATGCCGCTTTGGTCCCAAAACAAACAAACCAAACAAAGAAAAACTATGATAAATGAAGGAGGTCAGACACAGAACCACAGAGTAATAAAAGTCCATTTGTGGCTGAAAGAGACACAGTTATACCGAAGGTAAATGAGTTGCTGCCTTGGGAAAAGAATAGAAAGATAAAGTAAGTCACTACAATGGCCATTGAGGCTTGGGGATGGATAAAATGCCCCAACAGAGGGCTAGAGAAACAGCACGGCAGGTAAGATGTTCACCTTGCACACAGCCAGCCTAGGTTACAATCCTCAGCAACCCACCTGATCCCTGAGCTGCACCAGGAGAGATCTCTGAGCAGGGGTAAGCCCCGAGGACCACTGGGTATGGCCTCCAAGCCAAAACAAATTAAACAAGGGAGGGAGGGAGGGAGGGAAGGAGGGAGGGAAGGAGAGAGGAAGGAAGGAAGGAAGGAAGGAAGGAAGGAAGGAAGGAAGGAAGGAAGGTGGGAGGGAGGGAGGGAGGGAGGGAGGAAGGAAGGAAGGAAGGAAAGAAAGGTGAGCCCCAATAATCATTTGGTGATTATTCTTGCCAGCTCTGAATATAGA